ATGACTGTTCCCAGGCACTCCTGACATCAGCTGAAACCTGCAGGATCAGATTCGACCCCAACCAGGAACTGCTCCCCACAGTACTTAAACAGAAGGTAGCAGACACGGAAGATTTACGCAAGTTTAAAAAGGGATTGGACCAACGAATGGCACAATATCAGAGGCCATTAAATACAAATAGACAACCTTTGGCTGAGGAAATGCCTGACCCACTGATATCGGAGTGCTGGAAGGTGTGCTGCAGGGTGCAGTCAGACACTTGCCTGGCCGGGCACTGCTGGCGGGTCCCAGCTGTGACGACCCCTGGGCTGACCCCCAGCTGCTGCCTGGTTCTGCCGGGGAGTGTCATACCCACCTCCTGGCTCTCAGGATTGGCTCCTGTAGCTCCTCCGGTGACTATTTGCTTCCCAGCACATCTATTTCTGCTGAGTATCAATGGGAAAGCAATGTTTGCCTTAACAGGAGGGAGACCGAAGCTTAAACAACCCCAGATAAGCACTACTAGAGGGAAGTTACAAGTGGAAAGGGAGGTAATTGCACATATTCCAAATTCAGAGATGCTTAAGCACGTGCTTTAGCTAATGACACAAATAATCCAGCAAAACTTTTCCAGCCAAAGCACTTAAGTACATTCTTAAATTACCACTCCAGTGGTACTTACACCACAGAGGACAGCTGCCTCCCCGGCTCACGCGGGTGCGTGTGCAATGCTGCCAGTACTGGGCAAGTCCTGCAAGCAGGAGCAAAAGCGCTTTCCTTCGGAGGGCACATTTCACCAGCGTGGGAATTAAAGCTTGCACGTGCTTAAATAGCTCCTGACATAGTCTGCACAACAGAGCTCAGGTTTAAGACAGGCATACAGAAACAGAACTAGTCAACCCCTAATATTACCACACTTAAGCTTAAAACATTTCCCCAGCAGTTCGGAGGCCAGAGGAAGGGATACTCTGTCACAGGCAGATCTCGAACCTGCCTCTGATGCTTCGTTGCTCAGTCAACAAGGCTGAGACCATGCACGTATCAAAGTGCATTTCCTGATAATAAACATACTAAGCCCAGAAACCCAGGCAAAAGCAGTCAACAAAGCAAGGTGGCACCATGCCATTGCCTGGATGCGGGAGCTTTCGGCTCTCCCCAGGGGTTCTATCCCTGCCTCCCACTGTGCCTAAGCCAGGCTTCCCACCCAGCATAGGATGCTTCTGCTCTCATCACACTGACCACTGCCTCCCTCCAAACACTTCTCCCCAGAGCCAGCGCTCTGGCAGGAAGCCTCCACCCCAGGCCAGCATCATTAGTGACGAGTGGAGTCCAGTCCTCACGGGCACACAGTGGCCATGGACCGCGTGCCACCGCTGGTAATTTAAAAGGTCAGCCCACATCTCCCATCAGTTTGGCTCCTGTGGCCCCTTCCTGCTCACCGCAGACCGTCTGCACCGAGGGCAGCACACTGGCCTGGATTAATGCCTTGCAGGCTCCATCCAGTTTGCAACTTTAATTGAATAAATCCCAGCCAGCAACGATGCATTTACTGCTGCTGCGAGGACTGGGAGCTTCAAGCAGCTGCATAGTTATTGAGTCTCCCAAATTACATAACAATTATGTATGCTTACATTAAAATTACCTTGCAATCTCTAGATTGCCTGGCAACACTTTTCCCTTCAGTGTGCAGAAACAGGGCACTTTTCCTCTGTAATTACATAATAATCACCACCCATTTACCCAGCAGCTCCAAGAGAACACCATTTTTAACTTTCATTTGCTAATAAAGTAAGTGGTTACTCAATAGCCCAAAATAAAGCCTCCTATTGTTCCTGTTGTTGGGAGTGCTTGGGCATCCTATAATTTATTGCCATGTTTCCCTCCCTCTGCCTAGGACTACCCACACTTTCCCCCGCCCCCCATCTTCTAAAGGCAAAGTTTCCTCTGAGCAGGAGCTGCTACGCCAGCAGCATCCAGCACAGCCGAGCTCAGATCTCCCAGCTGAGGCGGGCAGGTGCTGCTGAATGCTAAGGAGAGCACAAAAGGCTGCAGTCTTCGTCCTTCAAACTCTGCTGAAAAACAGTCTTGTGCTTCCCATTCACATATACGTTTCCACTGACTTCTTGGGGTGGTGACCTGACTGATTTTGACAGCACTTGAAAACTTCTGGACCATCACTGACTTGCAAATATTGACTTCATTCCCACCCACTGGTTTTACACAAACAAAATGAGGTGGTGTTGCATTTCAGTGTGGAGAAAGACCGAGGCACTACGAACCAGCTTCCACCTTCTGCCTTGGCAAGGTCCATCACGCTCAGAGACTTGTTCTCTGCAGGTGTTTGAAACCAGGTGAGTCTTCAACAAAAGCAAGGGGCTTGCCCTGGCTCTGAGGAGCTGCTGAGCTTGCAGGGGCCACCAGAGATCGGTGAAACAAAGGCAGATGTGGCGTAAAGCACTATGGCAGCATGAAATGTTTCTTTTGAGTTTGACACAGCTATGTGTGGGCTCTTTGAAAGCATACTCGAAACAATTCCCTCTGGTTTGTGAAAGAAGCAGGTATTTACTTCCTAAGGTTGGAATAGTTGGAAAGGCCTCACCTTGGACTAAACAGGGAGAAGTGACACAGTTCTGTCTCACATGTCTGACCTTTCACAGTTTGCATTGCTCATTGACTAGAGATGACCATCACTTGCTCAGATGTCCTTGTCCTGCCCTGCTGGCTGTTCTGCCTTCAGATTTGCCACCAGAACTGTGTTTGCACTGTCAAAGTAAGCCAGGTTCATAAAAGGTTGCTGTGCCTGAGACACACCAAGCTAACCTAAGTCAGTCTCCAGGAACTTGGCACAGTGCAGCTACCTCTGCTGTCAGGTCAGCACACCAATAACCTCAAGGACAGCATGGACAAGCTGCTAGATGGATGAGGAGCCAAACCAAAGGCCATCTACCCCAGCACCCTGTCTCTGGGGTCAATAGCTTGGAGAAAAGCATCAGGCAGAGAGATGTAACACCTCCAGTACTCATACTCCTGGCTTTAGGCAGCCTCTTCCTGCATCCTCATATTTCATAGTCCTTGATGCTCTCTTCTTCTACAGATTTGTCTAATCACTTTGAGCCCATTTAGTTCTGGCACCTGCCATCTCCTCTAGCTATGAACAGCACAGTTTAATTACACGTTTAATCACATGAAGGAGTAATTCTTTCTGTTTTAAACTTGCTATCTGACTATTTTGCTTGCTTAGTTCTTGTGTTTTTAGAGACAGAGAAGATTCATTCCCTGTTCATCACTTCCCTGACACTTAGGATTTTATAAGCCTCTGTCTTATCACCCCTTCCTATGATAATTTTAAAATCTTGGGAGCTTTGGTCGTATCTCTGTACAGAAGATGTTCCATCTCTGTATAGAAGATGTTCCAGGATCATCCTGATCACCTTTCTCAGGTTTTTTTTTCAGTTCTAGAGAACTGTTTCTAAGGCTGAGTCGAATTGCACAAGATAGTCAAGATACTTCTTGCCTGTACCTAAGAGCTGTTACAGATCCAAATAACTGTATAATGACATTTTCTGTTTTCTTCTCTATTTCATTTCAAATAATTCCTCAAATCTTGTTAGCTTTGTTGAATGTCACTAAGTAACAGGCTGGCATTTTCAAGAGAACTATCCAGAACGAAGCCTGAGTGAGAACAGCTAATTTAGGGCCCATCACAATTGTATGGATTTTTAGTGTTGTTTCTCCCTCTCATACATTACCCTGCAGTCAGCAACATGAATTTTTATCTGCCGTTTTAGCATGCCATCGCTTGCTATCATGGCATCTTCCTGCCAGTCTTTGCAGTCAGTTCTAACAATGACTATCCTGAATAACTAGATGTCATCGCCAATGTCTCTTACTGCATTCTACCCTTTTTCTAGTCATTTAGGAGCATATTGAACAACCCAGGCCACATTATGGATTCCTGTTTAACTGCACTAGTGACTTTTCTCCATTGTGAAAGCTGTATTCCTACTTTCCTGATTGTCTAGTTATTAATCCACAAGAGGTCATCCAACCAAAGAGATTTATGAGCTTCTTTATGAGCTATCATTAATAGATGTAATCGAAAGCTGTTTGGCAATCAAAGCACAATATAGTAACAGGATCACCTTTCACCTTATCTACATATTTGTTGTCTCCTCTAGAAAAATGAATAGATCTGTGAGACATGAATTGCCTCTGCAAAAGCTGTACTGAGTCTTCCTCCTCATATTCAGCCGTCCAGCCACGGTCAGCGCACCAACGTGCAGAGAAAGCAGTCACTGACGAGATCACCAAACTCTACGGAAAGCTGTCGACAAGGAGCACAGCAGAATCAAAACAGGCACGGAGACAACCACAGCTCACCAACAGTTTGGCAACGTGCCCAGCTGGTACACAAGCAGTAAGTGCAGACCAGCCGACTCATGGGTACCTCTCACATATGAGATCATGCTACGTAGGTCCCCAGTTGCACCCTGTGCGTGAATGGCTCCAGCACAAGCAGCAGAGCTGAGGATGAAGGCAGGGACCTTCTGCTGGAAAAGGGAGAGAAGGGGCTCAGGCTAATGTGAGTAAGCAAAGGGGATCTGAGTTGTGTCTTCTGACTTGGTTACAGTGCTGGCCACAATGTGCAGTGTAATATGTTTAGACACAGCATGGGAGTAATGCCAGCCACCAGCATCCCACCACATCAAAGGACCAAGCCCTCTGACCCGCACGCCCCTGCACGGTAGATGCATCCTGCAACCATAAAAACTCAGCTCTACTGCGCTTGCTACTTTCAGAGGTCTGTCTTATAGAAAATAAAGCAACCAGCAATTTCATGGGTATGCTTCCACTCCTGGCACAGGTCAGATGAGAAGCCCAGCCATGAAGCCTGCAGTGCCAGGCCTGCAGATCAGCAGCGAGCAAAATGCACCATCCAACAGTCTCATTTCCTCCTGCAGAGAGCGAGAGGTTACATGGACATGCCAGCTCTGCTAAGAGTCAGCACTGGTGGCACTCACAGTATTCGATGCCCAAGACAACATCTCGGAAGTAGAGCCGAGCCTGCTCCTCACTGAAGGGCTGGTCACTGGGTACCTCCATGACAGGCCTGTTAGGAAGAGAAAGAGTAAGTACTTTGCAGAATGGCAGTAAGCCTCCTTGCTGGAGGAGTTTCAGGTTCTCCATCGCTGTGTCCCCAGCATTGAGAGCCAGGCTCCCACGAGTTTCTAGGTGCTGTGACACAGGATGGAAGTGCAACCATCCTTTCTGGATGTGGTGACACTCAGGTTAGTGAGCTTGCCTAGTGGTGATGGGTGACTTTTCACAGTCCCCGAGCCAGCATGAGCCACAGAGCCCTCACCAACACCAGGATTAGCTGCTGCTGTCTGCACAATAGGGCAAACACTTCATTCATGAGAGTTCCAGTAGGAAAAGAGTAGTGAAAGGACAGCACTGGATCTGGCCTTTGGCTTCTTTGCTGAAGCTGCTCATGGCCGTGAGCACCAGCATCACCAGGAGGTACCAGGCAGCAGTGGGGACAGAGTGCCCGTTGCCCTGTACTCAATGCCATGCCTGCTGGAGCTCAGTCCTGAAGCAACATCAGTGTGCAGCTAGTCTAAACTGAGGCAGAATCTAGACATGAACCACTGGCTCAGAGCTGAAGTGGGACTATTTCCAGTGCATTGTGCTAAACCTATTTAGCTGTTTAGGGTTCAGCCATCACCAGAACTCAGTCATTCAGCCCTAATCAGCCAAGGTTACCTGGTCAGCTTCTCCTCTCCTTTCCTTTGTATGCCGTCACTGCTGAGATGCACAGTATCCTCTAAAAGCCCCTCTTCTGCCTGTGCCTGCTGAAAGCTGAGGGCAAAGAGGCTGTAAGAGCTAATCAGCATCTTCTGTTCCCCAGCAGATGAATGGCAGGAGCTACAGACTTCACTGCACTGGGGGTTAATCCTGCCTGTGCTCGGCAGCTTGACCTTGCAGTTGGACATACGCCCACTGACTTGAGCTGGATTTAAGTAAGTGCTCCCAAGACACTGTCCTAGCAAGCCAAACCCTGGCAGAGAATAGCCCATGGCCAAAACCAGGCTCTGCAGCTCTTCCCCTCAGCACCCAGCAGCGATTCCTTCCTGCATGATTTCTCTCTTCTCCCTTGCTGCCATCTGATTGATGGTTTTGATGGATGGACCACTCTGTGGATAAGGAATTGGCTGGATGGTCGCACTCAAAGAGTTGTGGTCAACGGTTCAATGTCCACGTGGAGGCCAGTGACGAGTGGTGTTCCTCAGGGGTCAGTATTGGGACCAGTGCTATTTAACTACTTTGTTGGAGACGCAGACAGTGGGATCGAGTGCACCCTCAGCAAGTTTGCAGATGACACCAAGTTGTGTGGTGTTCTGGACACGCTGGAGGGAAGGGATGCCATCCAGAGGGACCTGGACAGGCTGGAGAGGTGGGCCTGTGAGAACCTCATGAAGTTCAACAAGGCCAAGTGCAAGGTCCTGCACATGGGTCGGGGCAATCTCAAGCACAAGTACAGGCTGGGCGGAGAATGGATTGAGAGCAGCCCTGAGGAGAAGGACTTGGGAGTGCTGGTGGGTGAGAAGCTCAACATGAGCCGGCACTGTGTGCTGGCAGCCCAGAAAGCCACCCGTGTCCTGGGCTGTATCAAAAGAAGTGTCGCCAGCAGGTCGAGGGAAGTGATTCTGCCCCTCTACTCTGCTCTCATGAGACCCCACCTGGAACTGTGTTCAGCTCTGGAGTCCCCAGCACAAGAAGGACATGGAGCTACTGGAACGGGTCCAGAGGAGGCCATGAAGATGATGCGAGGGCTGGAGCACCTCTGCTATGGAGACAGGCTGAGAGAGTTGGGGCTGTTCAGCCTGGAGAAGAGAAGGCTCCGGGGGGATCTTATTGCAGCTTTCCAGTACCTAAAGGGGGCTACAGGAAAGCTGGAGAGGGACTTTTTACAAGGGCGTGTAGTGATAGGACAGGGGGCAATGGCTTTAAACTGAAAGAGGGCAGATTTAGATTAGATATAAGGAAGAAATTTTTCACTCAGAGGGTGGTGAGGTACTGGAACAGGTTGCCCAGAGAAGCTGTGGCTGCCCCATCCCTGGAAGTGTTCAAGGCCAGGTTGGATGAGGCTTTGGGCAACCTGGTGTAGTGGAGGGTTTCCCGGCCCGTGGCAGGGGGGTTGGAACTAGATGATCTTTGAGGTCCCTTCCAACAATAACCATTCTATGATTCTATGATCTTCCTCTCCCATTTGCATTTTTCCTGCCACTGCCTTCCCTCCCTCTTCATGCACATGTTTCTGCTGCTGATACCAGGGAGAAATAACACAAGCAGCAGGACTAGCAGAGCCACTAATGGAGCCTAATTGCCTTCTGCTAGAGGCAGGCAGGCTGCGCTCGGGCTGAGCTGCACGTTCCCTGGCCACAGCTGATAACAGGAGCTTTTTTTTCATCCTCCTCTCCTACAGGATAGTCATCAGCCTGGTCACCGGGGAGACTGGGGAGCCTCTCACCAGCAGGCTGCCAGCTCCAGCGGGTTGCAAGATGCTTGCTCATGGGGCCAGACAGAAAAATAAACCCTTCGGGAATCCCCCCCATCCTGGGCACAGCTCTCCCAACCTCACTGTGACCCTGCAGAACTGCAGAACCAGCGCAGGTGTAGCAAAAAGCAGTGAGAAGACTGTCACCACCTTATCACTTCTCCTGCTACAGAAAAAAGTGCCACAAAACAGCCTCCCACAATACATTAGTGCTAGGGGCAGAATAAGGCAGTGAGTGGCAAGTAAGTGTTGAGGCAACCACACACCCCTTGTGCCAGAAGAAGCCACGATGTGGCTGTTACCCCAGCAGAGTATTCCTGTTAAAACTTTTTCTTCCAGGCACCTGATAGGGAATTGGCATCAAATTTGTTTTTCGGATCAAAGCCTGACACCAAGACATGTCCTCCCAGTCCGTTACTATCCACCACGCCATTCCAGTCTGTAACAGTGCAAAGGTAACTATAGCTGGATTTTGCCTCCTCTGCACTTGGAGCAGCGGTTTGCCCCACTGTAATATCAAACCTCCATTTCACCTAGGAAGCTAACGATGAACACCAAAAATTTAAACACAAGGGATCCCAGGAGGGCTACTTACCCTTTCCTCATGAGGTCGAACACTGAAAGAAAAGGAAATCAAACCATGAATGAACCAGAAGAGAGGAGTGGGCTTATTTGTTTTTTAGCACCTACAAACACACATCCATTCCCACACCTGAAAAATCAATTTATCTCCAATCAATTCTCCTCCCTCACCCATGACAAGGACACCAGAGGATGCAAAACGAAAATATTCATCTCTTCAGCAAAGATAAATATCCCCACCTCCCACCAGCTTCACGCAGGGAAACAGCGGGTGCTCATTTATCAACCACACTTCTGCTGCTCCCAGTGCCAGCCCTTGCTGATTTGAGCCCCGTCTTACTCAGTATCTTCAGGGAGGGGTTTGGTGTGATATTTCTGCTAAATTGCTGATACCAAACGAGATGCTGTAAGAACATGCTGCTCCATTTCTGCAGTGTCAATCAGCAGCACAGCTACATGGCTGACAAACGCTCCCTGGCAGGAGCAATGGGAGAGGATTTGTTGGTGTGAGTTGCAGTTTGGGTCTGATTAGAGGGTTAGTGGCAATGTGTTTTTCTGGTCCTGTCTCTGACCCATTCTGCAAACAGGAGAGGGATCTGCCTCTACTAGCAGGAGAGCAATTTCCTCATGAATTACTAAGGGGCATTTCTTGCACCTCCCAAGGAATCCGAGCAGATCGCCCTTCCCAAAGCCCCAGGCAGCCCTGCTTACAGCTGCGATGTCGGACCAGCTGAAGGCACAAATGCAACACGCCAGCCTGCATTGGCTCATCCTGCTCTCCAGGCTGAAGAAG